ATATATTTATTTATTTATTTATTCTTTTAATTTGTGTTACATGCAATCCCTCCCTTAATAATTTTCTTTCATGAAACTTAAACAATTTGTGTTTAATGCATTAATTTAACTTTTTATCTTCTATTTTACCTTTATTATATTGTATTAAAAAAGAATAATGTTTTTTTTTCTATCTTAAATTACATTTATAGGTTACTCTTGATTAGAATCTTTTCACTTCTTTATTTATTATTTTGGTTTTTTTACATTTTATATTATATTTTATTGACTCTGAAATTTTATAATAATTTTTTGTTAAAAAATTTTAATTACGTTTGATAATTAGTAAGAATATTTTTCAAAATTATAATTGGCAACAATTTGTGTAAGGATAGGTCCGAGGTGTCAAGCCTCAGACTGCTATAGTAATTTCTTTATGACCGAAGTGAGGAATAAATCCAGAGCTTCCCGCTCAAATGGCTGCATGATAAGGACAATAAGCATGCCCGCACCTGATTTCTTACGATGAGTGGCACAGCAAGTATGGTGGACGCTCGTGCATCTGGATCCCTCTCAAATTCCCGGTCCCGGAATAACCGTCTGGATGGACACGTCAGGCTCCGATTATCTTGCTTGGCATGCCACGTGGATTCCTCATTGGATTCTATAAATACCCCCCCGGGCCACGTCAAAAAGGTAATTGAAACCAACCTTAAGCTTTTTTTATCTCCGCCTTAAAGGTAGCCCCGATTATTGCTGATTTAAGCATCGGAGTGTCTATCCTGAGTTCAACCTCGGGGCTTTGCAAGTCATCTCGGAGTGCAAGTGCGGACTGAAGAAGGACTTCTGGTTTGGTGCAATTACATTGGCGCCGTCTGTGGGAATCGAACTAAAAGCTTTCTAGTTGTTCTTTCATCATGGTTCACACTCGATCAGTCCGAGCTGGTAATTCATCTCTGCCTCATGGGCAAGGTCAACCCTCAAACAACCTTCCACCTCTGATCCCACCTCAACTTCCACCTCAGGTCCCAACCATATTCTCTCCTATTGATCATGCAGAAGGAGGAGATGAAAACCAACCCCATATCTCAGCTCACAATTTAACTTCCACTGTCAACCAAGACGCGGTGACAGCTCAGCTTGCTGCCATGCAGCAGCAGTTTGGTGTTTTTCAGTTGGTACTAGCTCAGCTTTTAGCTAGAAATAATCCTGGTGATCCCCTCATTAATTTACTAAACCCTACTCAACAACCCCCAGCTCCACAACAGAATCCCCAACCAGTTCAACCTGCTCCCGCTATTAGCGAATCTCAGGATCAATCCCACATAGCACCCGCTCAGCAACCCATCCCTGATGATGTTACTCGTCGCCTTGATAGCTTAGAAAAGCTGATAGCTGAACACCGAGGTGCTCCACCCCCACAACATGCTACTGATTCCATACTTCATCCCTTGAATACCAACATCACACTGGAACCCTATCCTACTGGCTTCAAAATACCACAACTGGAGACTTATGATGGGATGAAGGATCCCGATGATCACCTGCATGCTTTTTACTCTTGCATGCAAGCACAGAATGCCTCTAACGCGTTAATGTGCAAGATCTTCCCCTCTACTCTGCGAGTAGAAGGTTGATTAGGAAAACTACTACCGAATTGATGCGAGTTAAACAGAGGGACGGAGAGTCTCTAAAGAACTACATGAGCAGGTTCAATGATGCGGTGTTGGAGGTTAGTTCATTTGACCAAGCTGTGGGCATTGCAGCTGTAATCTCTGGTCTCAAACATGACAGGTTCCGAGACAGTTTGATCAAACATGCTGCCACCACCTTTAGTGAGGTAAACGACAGATCTCTGAAATTTATAACTGCTGAGGAATACGCCCTAGCGCAAAATCCACCTTCCTCTAAGAACTAGAACCCAGAATGGAGAGATGACAACCCGAGCCGAAACAGGATGAGAATGGTGCAGAACCGAGGTCCAGTGTTGACCTCCCCACCAAGATTCGGAAGGTCGAACTCCACGCCCCCACAACAATCTGCAGGTAAACCTCCAGTTAATTGGACTCCATTTAATTTGCCGAGGTCACAAATTTTTATGCAAATCAAAAATAAGATGGACTTGAGACGTCCCGGCCCAATGCGAACTACTGCTGCTAGTCGAGACCATACCAGATATTGTGATTTTCACCAGGATCACGGCCATACTACAGAGCAGTGTAATAGTTTAAAGTCCGAACTGGAAAGTTTAGCTCAGAAGGGAATGCTGAATGAGTATGTACAGCGAGCTGAACAGCCGAGGTTTGTCAGAGAACAGAGGCTGCAACCTCAAGGAGCCCGCAACCCCCCAAATAGGCAAGGTGTGGGATATCAACAAACCCCACCTCCACTCCCACCACCAGCTAGAATCATACATATGATTACGGGAGGCCTTGAAGTAGGTAGACTGAGCTCTAAGCAGCGAAAGCTGTATGTCAAGGAGGTTAAACATCAAAACCGAGCTTAGAAGTGGAAGAATGACGATGCTGAATGGAAGAATCAACCAATTACTTTCACATCTGCTGATCTCGATACAGTTGTTACACCCCACAATGATCCTTTGGTCACTTCTGTCATGATTAACAACTATGAAGTACAACGTGTCCTTGTTGACACCGGGAGTGCACCAGACATCATGTACTTCCACTGTTTCGAGAGTCTGGGACTAGATCCAGCATTGTTGCAGAAGTATGATGGTCCTATCTATGGTTTCAATAACCAACCTGTTCTGGTAGAAGGAGTTCTTACCCTCCATGTGGCTTTTGGGAGGGGTAGAACCTATGTGACCCCGTCGGTCCGGTTCCTTGTAGTCAAGATGGCGTCCTCTTTCAACATTGTTATTGGCCGACTCACACTGACTGAAATCCGAGCTGTGGTTTCCCAATCTCACCTCTGTATGAAGTTCCCAACTCCCATGGGAATAGCAACACTGCGAGGAAACCAAGAGGTGGCCAGGCATTGTTATATCACCTCGGTAACACAACCCTTGAAGGGCAAAGCTCAGACACCCGAAGCCATTCCCCAGCAAATTTCTGATAATCAGCAAATTATGGGTGTTGAGATCGTAGATAATCGACCGGAAGATGAAACCAGAGCTGCTCCGGTCGAAGATGTTGAAGAAGTACTTATTGATGACAGAGATCCGAGTTGAAAGACGCAGATCGGAACTAGATTGAACCCAGAGGAAAGGGCAGAGCTCATAGCTTTTCTTCGAGCTAATAATGATGTATTCGCATGGACTTCGGTAGATATGCCAGGAATTCCAAATTCAGTCTCTCAACATAAGCTCAGCACCAATCCATTGAAGAAACCAGTGGCCCAGAAGCGGCGTCTCTTCGGGGGTGAGAGGCTTCAGGCTATTAAAGAAGAGGTAACGAAGGTCCTGCAGGCTGGTTTTGTCAGGAAAGTCGATTACTGTGAATGGGTGGCTAACCCAGTTCTGGTGAAGAAGGCAAATCGCAAATGGCGAATGTGTATTGATTACACAAATCTTAACAATGCCTGCCCTAAGGATTGCTATCCAATGCCGAGCATTGACAAACTAGTTGAAGCGGCTTCAGGCAATGAGAGGTTAAGCCTCTTGGACGCATATTCGAGGTATCACTAGGTGCCAATGGCTCTAGAAGACGAAGAGAAAATCGCGTTCTATGCTGGAAATGAAATTTATTGTTATGTCATGATACCGTTTGGCTTGAAGAATGCATGTGCTACTTATCAGAAAATGGTAACCATTGTCTTCCACGCCCAGATTGGCAAGAACCTGGAGGTATATGTCGATGACATTGTGGTAAAGAGCCTAAAAGCAGAAGACCATCTCGTCGACCTCGACGAAACCTTTAATAACCTTAAAAAGAACAGGATGCAGTTGAACCCAGCCAAATGCATCTTCGGAGTGGAGTCCGGAAAATTTCTAGGTTTCATGGTGTCTCGAAGGGGAATTGAGGTCAATCCAGAAAAGATCAGAGCCATTGCCGAGATGGAACCGCCGAAATCAGTGAAGGATATACAAAGGCTGACTGGAAGGGTGGCAGCTCTACATCGGTTCATATCGAAGTCAGCAGATAAATGTCTGCCATTTTTCAAAATTATGAGGTCAGCCGCCCAGAAAGACGAGTCAGGGAAGCAAAAGAAGTTCGAATGGAGCCGGGAATGCCAAGCTGCATTTGAAGAGCTGAAGTCTTATCTTAGCTCACCGCCTCTGTTGACTAAAGCTGTAGATGGAGAGCTTCTATACTTATAC